GGGGGAGATAGGCTGGAGAGAGGTATTATTGACTCAGCTGTTTTAACTTGCGACTGTAATATCATTACCTTTTTTTGGCGGTCTTTTGAGCAAAGTTTCTTTCGCTATATGATGGAGAATAGGTTTTAGGAGTCGTTAGGTCTCCTTTGGGAGGTGATTTAATCGCTGAACAATGTAGACTAATGTGCGAGGAGCAAGGTATTGAAGTGGTCCCTGCGTACAAGATTGCGTCAAAGGTTCGTCTTTGTGGTTCACCAAGTTCTATTATATAATAATGATTTATAAGAGTTTATTTTGTGGTGCTTGTCTTCTTTTAGGCTGTTGTAAATGAAGGTGAAAAACCGGTTTGGACACAAAAAAAAAATCTTCCAGAAGTTACCAAAAGTTTTGAGAATTACATGAAAAAGGTACACGTCTATTTCTTTGAAGATTTCATAGGAAGAAAGTGCATAGTGATTGCTCCTTGCATTTCATGTTAATTTCTTGTTTTAGCAAGTACTTGAGGATCTTGCTAGTACAGTACTTCAGTGTTGTGACACACCAATTGATGTTGAGTAAGTATTGCTTTTTTTTTCTGCGGAGTAGGGTACTTTTTAGTGTAATTTGATTTTTTGCTTTTCGACATATGTATAGTATTATTTGCATAGATTTGCCGAAAAGTTGCCGTCTTCTCCGTTTTGCTTCCCTTGCGGATTCAGTAAAGAATTCCAGGCAGAAAGAATCAAAATCCCTGAAGGGCTTTTTGATTTGAATTATTTAAAGGTCTGGTTTACTTAGAAAATGAATGTTACAAAATTTATGTTTTATATCATCTTTTCTGGGTTTTTTGCAGTTTTTCTCAGCTCGTGTATTCCATTTGCTAGCAAAGTACTCTTACCTTTTTAATGGTTTATTCTAGAATGTTAATAAGGAGGCACTGATGTCGGTTTCGCAGATTGCAGTTACTAGCTGTGGGATGTGCGATATTGATATGAGACCGGTAATAATTTATTCACTAACGTTTTTTGTCAGGTTTGATGTAAAATACGAGTTTTTCAATTCGCCAAGAAAGTTAGTAACTTTGATTCAGTCTCTATATAGTGGCCTGGTAGTAACTGGTGGCAATTCGTTCCTGATGGGGTTTACTGAAAGGCTTAACCACGATTTGGCTCATAAATGCCCTCCTGTAAGTTTTATATAGTTTAACGTTGCACTGCTGCTTCCTTTTTTTCTCTTTACTTACTTCTAGGTTATTCTCTGCGATACTTTTTTTGTTGCATACATTTGTAAATTCGTTTAAGACCATCAAATTACGGGTTAGTGCTGCTCCGTCATCTATGGAAAGAAGGTTTGGAGCTTGGATTGGCGGTTCTATTCTAGCCTCATTGGTTTGCCTTATATTTTCCATAATTCCTCCGCTTACGACCTTTATCTGATGTTACTCGAAAGATTTTCTTTTTCAGGGCACTTTCCAACAGATGTGGATATCGCGGTCGGAGTATGATGATACGGGCAAAAATATAGTGGACAAAAAGTGCAGTTAATGGTTTAACATAAGGTCGTTTTCTCACAAATCAGTGGTGAAATTAATCATTTTATTTCAAGTGGAGATGCTTGTTCTTTTTTGGAATTTTGTTAAGCTTGACAGCCTAACTAGTGGAAAGCACTCCCTGCTGATCTCATCTCTTTTTGTGTGTTGATGCTTTGTTGCAAATTTGTCACATTATCTGTGTTGCTCGTTTGTTGCATGCAGCTTCTTTCTGTGTCTTTTCCCAGTCTTACTTCTTTTAAAATTAGCTTATAAGGTTGTTCCGACTGTTGACTGCCGGTTACTTATTTTTCATTATATTTTAATCTTTGCACCGATTGAAGTGGATCGTAGTTTTGGTAGTTTATTCTTAGAAATTGTAGGTTATTGGAGAGGGTTTCTTAATTATTTTTTGGTGGAGTGTAGAAGTTGCGGGTGAGTTTCCATTACAGTTGAGTGCAGATTGCTAGCTGCTGAGGAATTAGTGTTTTCTGGACGAGCGTTGCAAGAATTTTTTTTTGATAATTTTTAGCGGAAAGAAAGTAACGGTTGTTCACAGGTTTTTTGGGAATGACACCTGCTTTAATAAGGTTTCTACTTCTGAATAATCAGCATCATGAAATAAAATTGGATGAATATTAGCCGACTTTTAAGGTTTTTATTGAGAAGATGAGTTTTAGAGTATGGCCGTTTGCATGGCTGTCATTACATGTATTATGGATGGCGCTAAAGCTTGTATTAAATGTGGTGGAACATCCCTGAGGATACTGGGTGTGTTTCTGAAAATGGAAAGCCCAGAAAAAAGCAGTGGCCATGTGAAATGTGCGAAATCGGTATACTTTTTATAGTAAATTGTTGTAGGGCCTTTTATATGTTTTTGCCAAAGAAGTGACAGAAGAAACCTTGGATGACTTTCTTCTTGTGGGGATTATCTCCACTACTAGACTGTCAACTGTTTCTTTTAAGCATGGGAGGCTTTAAATATTGTATGCAAAGTCCAATGTTCTGCCAGATGGTACCGTTCAGTTGAGTTTACAGAACAAACATTGCTGGTGTGAGTTTGATCAATTTTAAATAATTGTGATTTATTTAATGCGGTGAGTCAGTTGTTTAAAACAGCTCCAAAATACAAAATGCAGCTTTATTTGCTAAAACATTATAATACATCAAAAATTAAACAGATGCAAACAGTTTTGAAGATTCAAATACAGACAGATTGAAGCAACATCCAAATGCTCTCATCTGTAGGAGAAACGCCAAAACTCAAATGTTATTTTATGAAATTCTGAGGAGAGCAATAAGCGATCAACTCGACAAGCACCGGCAGATGCATAAAACGCTTTGAAATCAAGAAGAATTACAAAAGTATGCTAGGAGAACAGGGAAATGGGCGTTATTGCAGGGATGACTTTCTGTAATACAAAAAGCTGCTGCATTATTACGTCAAACAGTTCAAGGCAGATACCTCGTTGGAGTCTTTCTCGTGCGTGATGAACTTCGTACTGGCACCGGCTTTTCTTCTTCAATAGTTGTAAGCACCTGATTAATAGTTCTGAAAATTTTTGCGTAGGCGATGGTCTCTTGTATTAATATAAAGCATTTTAACATCAAAATCTATAAACAGGAAGGAAAAACAAACTTCCTTCCAGCACGAATGCGAGATTTGCGAGGCTCCGATGATGAACTAGATTCATCATCTGAAGCTGCTAGACGTTTTTTACGTCCTTTCGTGGTGGAAACTGCTGGAGAGTCAGCTGGACCTTCAGAAATGGCACGACGTGTGCGTTCCGTAGACTGTAAAAAGGAGTGTTGTAGTGGTGGAAACGGTACCCTAAGTAGACGCTTACCCTAGTTGCAATACGTGAACTGGAACGTCTTGGAGTAGTCTCAGGGGCTGAAGCTGTTGACGAAACAGAAACAGAACGTGTGGTTCTTGATGGACTGCTCGGTCTTCCACGTTTCCGCTTCTCTGTACCTGGCTTTTTTGCAGCGTCAGGTTTCTCCGAATCTTCTACGGAACTTGCTCCTGCAGAAAGTCTGCAAGAGCTACTTCCTTCGTTAACGGTGCTGTTTTCCACGGATGTAGCAAGTGCTACTAAAGTTTCTTCACTAGTCTTCTTTATTCTTTGGATTCGAGGTGCGCTATCAATACGAATTTCTCCCTCGGGGCCTACGGACACCACGGGATCTTTTGGTGCAATCTGGAAATTCCCTTGCGAAAAATACTTTGAATGTTGGGAAAAATTGAAACAAGCATACTTATGCATGTTAATCAGTACAAAAATGCATTCTTTGTCCATAATCTATGTTTACAAGAAAACATGTAAAGAAATGGAAACCTCAAATGCGTTTTCAACTCTAGCTAACTGATTCACAGAAGCAACTCCACTTGGTTCTTCCGGTTTTAAGCCTACGTAGTTTTTACCACTCTCATTTAATGATACCTCTTCTCTTGCTAAACTGCTTCTAAACTGGAACTCCATGGAATTTCCCTCTACGCCTTTAACTACTTCAGAAGTAGTAGCAACTGTACTGAAACAGATAACCACAAATATGCGAAGCAGAACTTCGTGAAGCTGAGCAGGTATGATTTAAAAAAAGCCAAAATTACTGTTTTCATGTTCTGTTCTTCTCAACAGATCTGAAGATATTTGGAAAGGTTTTGCAACAAAGTCTCTTCTGAACTTAAAAATTCTACGAAAAATGCTAAAAATTCGTCGTCTAAAAAACGTACTTCTTTCCAGCGCTGGTCGGAAGTCTACGCGTCTCTGACGACGGGACTGACTCATCATCAGAAGCTACTAAACGTTTTTTGCTTCTCATTCTCGTAGAAAATGCTGGAGAATCGATTGGATCTTCCGAAGTAGCACGACGTGTGCGCTTAATAGACTGTAAAAGGCATGATAAAAAAGCTCTAAAAAAGGTGCAAGTCTTACCCTGGATGGAATACGAGGACTAAAACTTTTTGAAGTAAGCTCAGGTGTAGATAAAGCAGGTACGTCTCTCGAGGGTCTATGAGGCTTCCTACGGTTTGGCTTCTCTAAAACCGACTCCCTCGCAACATCAGTCCCTTCTGAATCTTTCGAGGGCCTTTCGTTCACCGCAGTCTTAGGCTCATTACAACCTCCTGTTCCTTCACTGACGTTTCCTAAAGGTATCCCGACCGTTATTTCGTAAGAAGATTCCTTGGAAATTCTTTTAGTTTTCAGAGGAGTTGATCCACCGGGAAAGGGAGCCTTCTCTTCGAAGTCCGCAAAGCTCGATGCATCATTTGCCTCTACACCCTAAAACAAAAAATGATTCAGATTTTAAACATCTATTTTTAACACGTACACAGTCAACGGCTTGAACCAGAGAACTATGCTATATACAAAGATAAACTCCACAACCTACGCTTACAAAACACGCTTATAAAGAGTAGACAAAAACCTCAAAAGTTTCTGTAATTTCAGACGTCTGTTCCTGGGCGACTTCATCAGGGTTTTCTGGAACCAAATCCAGCTGGTTTTCCTTTTCTTTTTCTATTGAAACCTGACTTTCTAGAAGTTCATTTTCACTTTGAACCTCTAAAGACCTTTCTCCGATGGTGTCAGCCGTTTGCTCAGAACCGGCAATGCTGAAAAATGAACAATCCTTTGTGGACAAATATGCGGTTTGCAGAATTAAAAGAGCTAAGATTGCTAGAAAAATAAGTTACAACCTATCCAAATCCAAATCCGGAAGAGTGAATCTTAGTCGAGGCTGGATACCTAAATTTCCAAATTAAAAAAAAAAAGCAGTAGAGCGAAGATAACTTTGATAAATAATTGATTTTACGCAAACCAGTTTCACTGTCTTTGTGAAGTCGCCTTTTTGCCCCGCTCTTCAGAATTGAGGTAGGCTGAGGGACAGGCATCGGTTCTGGAGTCGATTCCAAACTTCGTGGGGAGCCAGTTGTACTGAAACGATCTAACCTCCTAGCGGAAGGTGGAGTTTGCAGAATCCGGCGCACTCGTTCCAAATTTTCCTTAGGTAAAATTCTAAATAAAACAATTCCATAAAACCAACTCATTAAAAAACCCAAAGCAACAACCTCTCTAACTGCATTGCATCTTTATCTCCAACTGGGCTTGGCTTTCGATAAGTGGGCGACAAAATGGTATCAGAGCCTGATAAGTGCATAATTTTCCTTTCCGGACTAAGTTCACTTGTTTCTGCCCTTCTTTTACGAAGTTCTATAGCGCTAAAATAATGGGAAATCTTTATCAGCTACATGTAAGCGAAACAGACGAAAAAGTAAAGCTAGCACCTTCTGAATTCCGCAAGCGTTTCATGCAGTGTTGTCCGCCTCCTTATGCGAGGTCCCGTAATATACGTAAGCTCCCCATCTGAAGCAACATTTGCAATAAAAAAAAGTATGCAAACCGTGTAAAAAATTATCTCCTCATTCAAACTTATCCGAAAGCTTATCAAACAATCCTACCATTACTTCTACATTTCTCAGCTGCAGTAAGTTGCAAATGATCCGATTGGAAACGAGGAATGTCTCTTATAAACCGTTTAGCCCACTGGTCACAAACGTTCTTCCATTTCTCATCTTTCATTTCTGGTGTTGGCTAAAAGCAAAACTCGACTACATATTGGAACTACAAGAATCTTCAATTAGGACAAAGCAACTTGCTTCTATAAGGAGCTGAAGCTGTTGTCGAGAAAGGCAAAAATTATTCCACAACACTACACCATCCTTCTGCTTTAGAAGGAACTCTAAAAGAAAACATTTGTATCATTTTTGGTGAAAGCAAGATCTTCATTTAAAACGTTAAAAAACCCAAATTTATCATAAAAGTGTAAAATTCTCATATGCTTTATAATAAACTCCATTATAAAAGTGCTATTCCATATTCAAACTGCTCGCTTCCTTTGACTCACAACACCTCAAATTTCTCACAAGCCCCGAGCATTTATGCAGGTCTGGTTAAGAATCTCAGAACATCTCCTACCAAACAAATGAACAAAAATTAAAACTTTTTTTAGCCTAATAAAACAAGTGAAGAAAGAAACCACTTTTTGCGTTCTGCCAATTTGCAGCAGCAGGGAACTTCATCGCTTTTAAATTTTCGACCACCAAACACAAAATGATTTTTTAAGGATAACCACTCCTTCGCTTTCCCCCCATTACAAAAAGAATGAAAATTTAAAAAAGACCTCTACAGGTTTTAGATATCAAAAGCTGCTACCTACCCTTTATTATTCCATAATGTTGTTTGTCAAGCAGAGGGCGCGTCATAAGACTTTTTACATTGTCAGCAGGCTCGAGACTAACTGGCCGTGGACCATCGCATTCGTCGACATGCTCCCCTAAGCACTTTAAACAAATTTTATCATAGAACAATTCCAGCAAAAATGAAATGTTCTGGAACTTATTACTCCTAAAGCAAATACTCAGAGATCTTTCACTAAAAAAGTAAATAAACAAGCAAACCTCAGTGCAGTCTGCTTTGTGTCTTGAAACAATCTGGTCCGCAAGGTAAACGTCGTTAACCAAGAACGTATAACGAAAGCGAGCAAACGTTTCTTTCTAGAATCAAAATAAGATGAAATCACAAAGAGAAGAATAGTAGGGAACGTTAGTGCATCAGTAAGATCGATCTCCTCTAAAGATTTTGACGAGTGGCTTACATTAGTCACAGAATCGTAGTCCAAGAAAAAGTAGCCCATCAGTTTCAGTTTTGCTGCGTACGTGATTTGCAATGCGAGTATAGGTTCAAGTAGATGCTAAAAAACAAAACCTAACGGGTATTTAGGTGTAGTTTATTAAAAATTTACTGGCCAATATGTCATCATAACCGTAGAGTAAAAAAGATCATTTATCGCTCACCAATAATGTTTTCGGAGGATACAAAGAAGTTGGATCTTCATTTACCCAAAAACCTTCATCCTTTCCAAACCTTTTTATTTCTTCGATGAGTTCGTGTATAAACAACTGCTTTCTGAAGAAAAATTTAAATACTGGAAGAAATGCGAGTAGATGCATTAATGAAAGAAGCTTTCCTGTACTAGAAAAAAGGTAAGTGCAAGGAGACCCCAAGTCACCAACCAATAATAAAAAAAAAAAACCTGACTGCATTTTTTCAAAGATCTGGTCACCAAAAAATAAATAAATAAATTAAATAAAAGGAGGTAAAAGAATATAAGCGTTTGGCGTAAGCACATCAAATTCTGCTACTAGACCTAACACATTAACAAAATGAAAGATACCCTGAAGAGCTGACTCTGGAGTAACGTTCCTCAATGTCTTGTCTCAATTTTGACTTTACATTCCCATAATTAACGCTTTCGGGAAGAACATCGTAATCCATCATAAACAGAACCAGGCGACTATACAGGGCCAAATTTGAAGAGGCACGTCGATGGCACTCAACTTCAGCATCATGTCTGCTCCCTTCTAAAATACTTGCCACAAACGAATTTTAAAAAAATACACTAAAAATTTAAAACCTTACTTGAGTTTGTTTTTGAACGAACGACCGAGAACAACTGCTCAGCACTGCTGAAGACACTGTAGGCGCCGTGCAACCAATAAACTGTCGATTTAGGCGGCGCTGCAGAAATCCTCGCAAAGAGCCCAGAGGCTAGAAATTATGTAAAATTCGCTCAAAATCGTCTATCACAAACTACCAAACTAGCTTAAAATGATATTTCAGCGTTACCCGAAAGGATTTAAAAAATTGTGCTCATTCTGCTCTGAACGCAAAAATCTCACAAATCTCATCAAAGTGTTCTTTTGTATCCTGCACAAAGTCCCATAAGAACTTCAAGAAATCATCCTTCGAAGCATCATCGGCATACTCTTGAACCCACTTTCGCAAACCAGCTCCACGATCGTGATATAAAAGGCCAGTAATAATCAACGATGGCTTATACCACTAAAATTAAATACTTATTTACTAAAGCTCAAAAGAAAAATCAGATTAAGACACAAAAAAACCTCTGTGTTCATCGCGAATGTACAGTTTGAGTCCGCAAGGCCAACAGCAGTTATCCACTGAGCTGCCAAATTCACATTTGTTCCAAGAGCGTCCTGAATTTCATTTTCAACTGCCTTCAAGACCTAAAAAGCAAATGATGATCTATAGTTCATTAACCTGCTAGAAAAAGATTCCTGGGATTTAAAAGTTACTCATAAAATACACGGAAAGAAATCAAGCCTAACAGCTAACAACCTTCTCCTGTATCGGTCTCACATCCATAACTAATCTTGTATTGTTTTTTAAGATAACCACAAAGAAGGAAAGAGCTGACGGGTAGAACAACGCATCATTGCTATCACTCAGTGAACCACAAAAACGAAAAAAAGACTCAGGACAGACAACTACATCCTGGAAAAGCAACTTCATCCTGTTAAAATAAAATAATTATTATTATTAGCATGAAAGAAATATATGTAAAAAC